GTCTATGTTCTCCAGACTTAAACACCGTAGGGCTACAAGGCATATCAAAGAAAGGTTAAGTGGGGATAATGACAAAGGAACATACATAATTCTGGAAATAGGAAAAATGCTCTGAAATGGGATCAATGTGCCAATAAGAATAGTTCATTTCATTTGAAAATTCAGCTAGAGAGCCCAATAAACAATTCCAAGCCATAATGTTACCTGTAAAATTTACATAAGTATTAAAACTCTTGCACTTTATAGACAAAAACACACTTTTGTAAACATGGCCACTGGGGGAGGGAGGCTCCCTACCTCATTCATGATTAAGAACATATAATCATTATATTGAATAAAATGACTTCACTTCAGAAAATTTTAAACCTGACTAATGATTAAGCTTCATTTCCCCATTTAACAACATTTAAGCATTAATTCTAAAAATGTTACCTAGAATGGTTTTAGGATTAGATGCTAGGACCACAATCGGCAATGACAGCAACTCCTCTCTAGCTGGCACAGACTTATAAACTTCAGTACAAAAACAAAAACAAAAAAATTACAGAAACTAGGTCAATTTGTTAACTACATATTTACAGATAATTACATGACTTTTCACTCACAATTGATAAAAACTATAAGTGAAAAGGAAACTGTGCAGGTTGAATTACCCGTACTTTGAGGGGAATTCTTGGGCATCAAGATACCCTTTTCATTCATTCAGAAGTCTTGTATTCTCTCCACTTTTTCATGGCAAACTACCTACAGATGTTCAGATTACTATATCCAGTGGGTATCTTGTTTCAGAGAGGATTAACATTTTTCTCTATTTAAAGGAGAATCTCTTGTATACTTAAAAACAAAACAAATCCAACACAGGCACATTCACATGCATACAAAAAAGTCTTCGAAATTTTAAAGTTAGGGTTGTTGGGAGGCAGTTAACAGTGATGGTGACATAGTAAATGGCTCCCTAGTTTTAATTCTTTGCATTTATTTTCTTCAAGGAATATCTATTTTTGGGTAGGTGGGAAGTGCAAGTTTAAAAAACCCACAATAGGCAAATAAGGTGCATACTAATTTATATATTTCTTATGTTGTGAAGGCTACCATTAGGCCAGGTAGGTTCTCTTACCTTGTTTGAGTGAAATTTTGGAAGTCTGAATATAAATCGGGGAAAAAATTAGTCAATATGACTTTAAAGGGGGCTCCCAGAATTCAGTAGAAAATAAAAAATACAATAAAGGAAGAGTTCTCAGCTTCACTTTCTTTTTCTAGGTAAGTGTTTAATAAAACTTACTTCTTTACAAATTAATAGTCATTTCCAATGTAGTCTACTGTAGTGATTTCATAAAAGTGCAGACAACATAACCAGACACACAGCAAAATAGACTTCAATCAGTAGTCCTTGCATACAAGAGGCAAGTCTGTTAAGTGTACAGCACACTCTTCATTGTTTTAGGAATCTGAGGATGGGAAACTTCCAGTTCTTAACAAGTAAGAGTGAGTACTTTTTCAAAGGCAATGCTACAACCTGGTTGGGGCATTATCATGTTAGATGAGGGAAAACAAAATAGAGAACCTGTTTATCTTTAATAATGATCTGTATTTTGATAAGCAGCTCAAAGATGACAGCACAAGTTTTGGCTTTGTTCCTTACGATAATTTTCTATCTAAGAAACAAAAACCTCTTCTTCCATCATTATAGGAGATTCATACTTATACACCTTAAATGTATTATTTTCTGATTTAAATACACACTAGACACTTCACATTGTGAGCATGGGACAAAACAAAAGACCATATAAACTTCCTAGGAAAGGGTTGCTGCATTGAGCCAAATCTCTGCTTGACTAGTAGTGGCTCAGAAGGGGTGGAAGGTGCACAAAGAACTTAGTATTAGCAAGCAAGAAGAGGCAGCTAAAGGGAGACAGTCCTATGCCAATACCATATCCTTCTCTCCCAGTGGCCATTTCCTGTTGATTTTATAGTTTAGGAAAACCTTGGATGCTTTTAGCAGTAATTCTTTTCTTGACTGTTTTGGTCCTTAGCAAAATTTATAATTATTGGTATTAATGGAGTATAAAGAATAAGAGATCAATGACATCACTACTAAGAAATACTCAGAGTGCACATGAAGATTGTGTGATTCACTGTATCTTTGATCATCTTTGCAGAGGAATCACCACCAGTGTTTTTAACTGCCATGGTTCACTTCTCTCTGCATCACAACAAAAACTCATAGAAACACTAACTGGCTCTTTCCCCAGCACTATTTTACTGCATCTGCAACTCAGGTTTCCACATTTTACTTAATTTTCTTTCCATCCACACAAGTGCTAAGAGGGGATTAAAAAAGAAGAGATTGCATCTAATGACCACCTTCTCATAAATATCACCCCAGAGTACTCATTCTTAAACACATGCATTCTTGCCGAAACAGAGGATTTGAAATAACAAAACAAAAAAACCGAACCTTAAGTGCCCTGATGGAAATGTACAGTATGAGTTACATCCATCTATACACACATATAGACACTCATATGTATATACAATATATACATATAAATGATAATAGCTATACCAAAAATGTGCATATTTAACACAGTTTTTAAAAGCCAGTAGATCATGGTATAATACAATTTATTTCCACTAGTGAATGGCACAAATGGAGAAATGCAAAGGAGGTGTTTCAAGTACAATAAGGTCATTTTTCACAGGTGAAAATAAACAGTATTATTCCAGTGTCCAAAACAATGTATTTTATAAAAGTTTAAAATGCCAGACATTTAGTACTTAAAGAAGTAGAAAGTTACTAAAGTCTGCCTTACGGTCTGAAAAAGACACTTATAGAGTTTTTAATTTTTGAAAAGGGGATGAGGAAAATTAGGTGGGAGTGGGAGAGGGGTTAAGGACAGTTTCTTTAGTGTACTGAATGGTGTTTATCAGATGTCTGGGCAGCTTAAAATCAAGATTATACTAAGGAGTTTAATTCACCAATAAATTCTTGGTGTAGAGTACCAAGCATATTATACCTGTAGGTGTGGCATCATATGCAGAACTATTCATCTCTAGGCATAAAAATGACTAAAAAGGACAGCTCTGAATAAAAATAATATAAACATATTCCAGATAACATTACTGTATAATGAAGAAACTATAATTTGGGGTTAGAGCTGACTTCAGTAAGAGGAGAAAAAAATAAGTTCAAAAGGAAGGCAATCCAATTAGGAATAACATATTTCAAGGTATGAGGCTTTGCATTTTTCAAAATGCTAACTAAAGAAAGGGGGAGACAGTGAAGACAAGAAAAGTTTTACTGCCAGGCTCTGGATACCAGATATAGTGTTTATGACTTTCTGATATGCTGGGCAAATTTCTCATACTTTTTATTTTCTTAAATACGTATGTACTGAGTGAACACCAACGTTGGGAGGAGGTAGTAATTTGATCAAATGTTGACATTTGCACACTGAATCAGAAAGTGCTTGCTTCTTTCTTTAAGATTTCTTAAACCTTTCAAATTTTCCTGCTACAAGCTTTACTCTTTAGTGATTCCTACTATGCACGAGATTCCTCAGAAGTTAGATCTTATAAATACACACAAAAACCAATTTGTATCATTTTTGTAAACTACATATTTTTAAATTAAGATTAATTTCATGGAATAATCCAGGTATACTCATGACTTACATGTAAAACTGGCTGCTATACAAGTAAATCAGATACAAAGCCCTACTGGATAGACATTTGGAATCAGTATTCAATCACAACTTTACAAGTACACATGGCCTGTGTGAACTCAGTAACTTCATTTGACTAATTTAAGTCCACAAGTGGACTTTAACATTGGCAGTATTTTGGATTTTAAAGAGTTTTGTGAATAAAAATGATCTGCTTCCCTATTCCACCCTTCTAATAATACAGAGGGACTAATAAGAATTTTTTAAGAAGTATCAAATTCCATTACATTTTTGGACATTTTATTAATTCTAAAGTTCTATCATTTCCCTCCAAATAGATATCTCATTTGAAATACTATGTGATATTTGAATGCAAAAAATATATTGAGAAAATTACAAGCCCCTTTCATTAGATATGACAAGCGCATGTCACATTTACCTAAAAACTGGTGATCTTGTGCATGGCCGATAAGACAATGTATCAGAGTGTTATCTGAAACACTGCCTAAAACTGTGTGAAATTCTACGGTGATGTTGGTTTTTAAAATATTTACATTAAAACATTTTTCTTCCAGTTACCTTTAAATAAATGCCAGAAACTCCTAAAGGGGATGATTCATGGAGACTGGACTGATATACCTGGGGGAGACAAGTTTAATTGAGAAAACCAAGATTTCAACAATGATAGACTATTACTGCTTGGTCATTAGTCTGGTCTAGGTGAAAAGTATCTTTGAGAAGGAATTAAGAGAATTCTAACTTGGAGCCCTTTGACTATATGAAAAAGCAGGATCCAGAGTTAGCAGCAAGGGTTCTTCAAGACAACTGGGGAAGGGGCAGGACAATAACTTAAGAAATTCTGATATGTCATTGGAAAGAACATTTTTTTTTCTTTTCAAGTAATACTCACAGCTCCCTATTGACCTCCAACTAAATTTCCACACTGGCAACAAAATACCAAGCAACATCTGACTTTCAGCATTGGATTGATCCTTCATTGCAAAACAAAACAAAAAATGAAATGAAATGAAACAAATTAAAACATGCCCCTCTCTGGAAAAAAAGGAAAAGATTAGCTTTTGTCAAGAGATTCCCTGACCACTATAACTTACTTTTTTTTTTTTTTTTAAATTTGCCAAACTTGCTAGTTCCTTTTCAGTAGTAATTTAGCACTGAGGCTAGAGACTTCAGGAAGTGGTGTTTCCTATTGTGTGATGTTAAATGATGCCAAATGGTCACTAAGTCTCAAGGAACTAGAAGTTTATAAAGTACTGCAGCAACAAAAACAGCAATTAAAAAAAAAAAAAAAAGAGAGAGAGAGAGAGAGAGAGAGGACCTGCACATGCAGCAAAATTTACAGTGGTAGTGAGGATTAGTCAGCAGCTGGTAAAGTCATTGGCTCAGTGACTCCTAGTTCACTATGGCAACTAAACTTTAAATAATTGGCTATTCTACGTGTAAACAGGAAATCCCATAAGCCAAAAAGGGGTAATCAAATTAATGTCTTTGTAGTGTGATGAGAATTCCAATAAATGGCAGTTTGTGAATATGGCATCATTCAAATACCTCTGGCATTTGATGTGTATTGGCTATATGCTTTGTTTTTGTACAAAGTAAAAGTACTGTTTGGGGTTTTGAGAGCTACAGAAGTTAGCTAGGATGAAATATCACAGTATAAGCAACAAAACATCAGGATATATAGGCTTCACCTCCTCACTCTGCTGCTAACATACCTACCATATGAACTTTCAGGGACCTCTCGCTAACCCTCTGGTCTTCCCCTTTGAAGGCTTATAGGTTTGCTGATGCAATTTCCATACCACTTGTGGATCTCCTTAAGCACCTCCATCTCACATGCCACAAAGAAGGCACAATTGAATGGAAAAAAAGTATCACTGATAAGCCTATGCAGCATTCAGAAAAAGAACTAAGTTGTTTTCTACTCTCTGAAAAAGTCAATGTCCTTTAGTATTCATGGCTTTCCACTTTTTTACTCCAAATGAGGCTGAGAAGTCAGACCAATTTAATAAAGAAAATACATTGGTGAGGGAATACAAGTGTGTTTCCATAACTTGTTTCAGCATATGTTGCCTGCTGTGAGTGGCTCATAAGAATTAGGGGTATGGAGAAGGTTTTAGATCTTTTCACAAACTTCTTAGGATATAGTTGCCCAAAAGTGATGACTCAAGCCACTTTGCTGTATTTTATTTTTACAGTGTTCAGAAAATACCTATCTAGCCAATTTCTTTTTACTGCACACGTGTGTGTGCACACGCAATTCCTTTTCAAAATCTCTCCAAAAATTAAAAAAAACCAAAAACCCCAAAAAAACCCGGCAGCCAAATACTATGACATCCCAATTAGTAAACACAAAATAGAACGCTTTACAAAAATGAATAAAATATACCATATGCACTCAGCTTCCACACTGTAGTACCCAAGTGAGGAGGCTGCTGTGATGATGTCTGTAGGCAGTTTCTTTTGGCAGACAGCTCCAGCAGAATTGCCACTTTCAATGATTAAGTTATGTATAAGACATGTGTGACCCATTGGATATTTGTGAAGTGACACTCGTGCTTCTGCTCATGCCCTGCTCCGTCCGTCCCCCGGAAGCTGTCCGCCTCAGAGCCTGAGGGCTATTGCGGACTCCCATACTGCTACCTCGGGGTACCCCTTGCATTGGCCCTGAGGGGTGACCCCATGGCTGGGGTCCACCTTGCATTGGATGGCCCCAAGCTTGTGGTGGGCCACCCATGGGATGACCCCAGTGAGGTCCGGGACCCCCAGCAGGGTTGTGAGACCAACCAGAAGCTCCTGGGTAGCTGTGGCTGAATGCCTCAGGGGAGAGATTAGATAGGACCATGTTACTAAAACCTAGTCTCATACTTTCAGAGTCAAAAGCTTCAATTTCTCTGGCTTGACGCTCCAGTAGGCTTCGTATTCGTTCTGTGCGTTCATTCTGCAAAGCCAACATCTCTTCTTCAATCTGTTGGGGGTTGGAGGAAGGAAGGAAAATTAAAGCTGATTTATTTTTTTAAATCTAAAAACTAAGGAAGCAATAATACTCAGCTTTGAAGTGAATCATAAAGAAATTCACTCTGGCTATTTTATGGATGTACACTTAAAAATCAAAGAGATGTACTGTAGGAATCATATAATTTTTAAAAAAATTTTGATTATGCTATTACAATTGTCCTAATTTTCTCCTTTGCCCTCCTCCACCTAGCACCCCCCACCCCCTTCAGGCAGTCCCCCCACCCTTGTTCATGTCCACAGGTCATACATTTAATTTCTTTGGCTACTTCCTTTCCTATAAAGTACTTTACATCCCCATGGTTATTTGGTAACTATCCACTTGTACTTCTTCATCTCCTCACCTTTCATCCATTCTCCCACATCCTCCTCATCTCTTTATCTTTAACCTTTGGTATTTTAATTATGATGTGTCTTGGTGTGGGCCTCTTTGCGGCTATCTTGTTTGGGACTCTGTGCTTCCTGGACTTACATGTCTATTTCCTTCACCAAATTAGGGAATTCTTCTTTCATTATTTTTTCAAATAGATTTCCAATTTCTTGCTCTTTCTCTTCTCCTTCTGGCACCCCTATGATACATGTGTTGGATTGCTTAAAGTTGTCCCACAGGTTGCTAACAGTATCTTCATTTTTTTGGATTCTCTTTTCTTGCTGTTCTGAGTGGTTGTTTTGTTGCTTCCTTATGTTTCAAATCATTAACTTGATTCTCAGCTTCATCCACTCTACTTCAACCAGTTGCTTCCCTGTAAATTATTCTTTATTTCAATCAGTGTATCTTCATTTCTGACTGGATCTTTTTTATGCTGTTAAGGTCCTTACTAAGTTCCTCGAGCATCCTTATAACCAGTGTTTTGAACTCTCATCTGAGAGACTGCGTATCTCCATTTCATATAGTTCTCTTTCTGGAGTTTTGATCTGTCCTTTCATTTGGGCCATGTCTCTTTGTCTTGTTTCAGCAGCCTCCCTGTTGGTTTCTATGTATTAGGTAGAGCTGCTTTGACTCCATGTCTTGGTCGTGTGGCCTAATGTAGGATGTGTCCTGCAGGGTCCAGTGGCACAGCTTCCCCTATCACCCAAGCTGGGTACTCAAGGTGCACCGTTCATATGGGCTGAGTACCCCCTCCCCTTTTAGTTGAGCCTTGGTTGCTGTTGACAGATCAATGGGAGGGATTTACCCAGGCCAGTCAGCTGCAAGGATGGCTGTGGTCACTTACCACCAACCTCTACCCTCCATGGAGGATCAGCTGTGCAGGGACAGGGTGGTGCTGTTCTCACACAGTCTGTAGCTGTCCACTGGGTACATTGGCCCTGGGGTTTCCCCGGTGGTGCAGTGCAACATCAGCCCCAACCTGTGCTTTGCCCAGGGCTACCCTGCCTGAGTTATAAAGTGATATGAGATGGCTGCTGCTTGTGCCGGGACTGGAGATTTCTGGGCAAAGCGAAGCTGTGAATCTAGGCTGCTAGTTCAGGGTCTGAGGCTCACTGAGGCCAGCTGCTGCTTGCTTGAGAGGATTTAGGAAGTTGTGAAGCAGGAGCCAAGACCAACCATTCATATGGAAAAGAAGGTTGGGTGGGCCCATAAGTTGGGAGGGGCAGAGTCTCTGGGGATCTCCAAGAATGGTCAGTGTTAGCCAGGTTAATGGAATCTTAGATTTGGCAGCAGTCTGGCGACTCTATGAGGGGAAGGCCCAAAAAAGGGACAATGGCCTCTGTTTGCCTTGTTGCCAGACAGCTCAGCCTCCCCCTGAATGCCACTGGTGCCCTTCAAGCCACCTCCCCGGTGCTAGAGCCCAGTGGGAGTGAGTCTGAGTAGGTGAGTCTCTCTGTGGTTTCTTAAGAGGAACTGCTTGGGCCTCTAGAAGTTTCTTCCACTGACTCAATACCTGCTGGTTTTTGCAGCCAGAGTTGTGGGGACTTATCTTCCAGGCACTGGAGCCAAGGGCTCGGTGGTCTGGTGTGAGGCTGGGATTCTTTGCTCCCAAGACATCCCTCCCGAATTTCTATCCAGCACACATGGATGTAGGACCAGCTCGTTCCACATCCCTGCCCCTCCTACCGGTCTGGAGGGATATGGTTCCTTTAATTCCTTATTTGTCAGACTTCCATTCAACTCGATTTCATCAGTTCTGAGCAATGGTTGTTCTATATTTTAGGTGTAATTTTGTTGTGGTTGGGCAAAGAAGTGAACCATATAAGCCTGTGCCCCCATCTTGACCAGAGTCCCCTAATTTATATTTCTAAAATGTGTAAAATCAAGTCCTTAAAAGCAAAGGTAATAACCTCTATTAAAATAATAAACCAAGGTTTTATCATCAATGGCTACTAAAAGGATTAGGTAAAAAGTGGAATGAAAAAGAAAATGGGTTAGGAGAAACCAGCCTTATCAGACATACCATAATATCATTTAATAAGATAAATATGGCATTGGTATAGGAACAGAAAACTAGTGAATTAGAAGTAGAATGCAGATCAAAGTTTGTATGTTTTTAATGCAGGACAAAAGCAGCAATTAATTGAATGGGGAAAAGGTAAATTTCTAAACAAATAACACAGGCACAGTTGATGAGCTATCTGCAAGGAAATAAAAGTGGAACCCCATCATACACCATGTTCCAGATGGACAAAAGTGAAAATCTAAGAAACAAAAACTATAAAGTTTTAATTAAAAAGTTAGAAGACTCTATGTACCTACAAATTAGTGATTGGGTAGCTATTGTAATCACTTCTGGAAAACTGGGAGATATTACAAATAACTATAGTTGACTGTATATAATTTTTTTAATGTTAAAAAAAACCATTAAAGTCAACAGACAATTTAAAAAGTTGAAACTTTTTATGAAAGATCACACTGATATTACCTGAACCCACAGATTAATGTAACACCACTTAAAAATGGGACAACTAGACATTATGTATTTCTCAATATGATACAAAAGAAAGTATACAGTAACCCTTACAAAAATTGAATCTAAACATGATAATGCCTCTAAATCTAGCTACCAGTTTATAAGAATATTTAGGAAAGAGAAATACATTAAATAACAACATGAGAATGCAATCAGCCATATCCAGAATGTGAGAAGACCTACAGAACAAATGATTCAAGCCACAGTTTAAAAAAGGGACTAGTGCCCTGGCTGGTATGGCTCAGTGGACTGAGCGCTGGCCTGCAAACCAAGAGGTCACTGGTTCGATTCCCAGTTAGGGCATGTGCCTGGGTTGAGAGCCAGGTCCCCAGTGGGAGAGTAGGAGAGGCACCAATACATGTTTCTCTCACACACTGATGGTTCTCTCCCTCTATTTCTCCCTCCCTTCCCTTCTCTCTAAAAGTAAATAAATAAAAAATTAAAAAAAAAAAAGTGAGTGGAGTGGGACCTGTTATAGCCTCCAAGATTTAAAAGACAATTAAATGCAATGTCTGGACTTTTTTAGACCCCAATCCAAATGAACCAAGTTAAAAAAATACTTTTGAGATAAAAGGGGAAAGTTAGACATGTATTGAGTATTACATAATATTAGACAATTCTGTTGGCTATCATGATGGAATTATGGTTAAAATCTATAAATAGGAGTGAAATAATGCTATGCTGAGATTTGCTTTAAAATACTCCATACAGGCTCAGTGGATTGAGTGCCAGCCTGAGAACCGAAGTAAAATACTCCATACATTCTCCACTAATTTCTGCCCTGCCCCACAAAAAAGTTGTGTGTGTGGAGCAGGAGAATTGATAAGAAGTTAGTATTGATAACTGCTAAAGCTGGGTGATGAGTACTTGGAGATTTCATTGAACTAATTCATACTACTTTTGTATATGTTTGAAAATTTTTATGATAAAGTTTTTAAAAAATAGGATATAAAGGGAATTTGTAAAGGAGCATTAAACAATCAGGTTTCAAGATATTTGAGAACCTAAGCCAACAGTTACTGCTCTCAACAGAAATATACTTTGACAAATATGTTTAGCTTTTATGCACCAATTTTTAAAAAGTGCCTGAATAAAAAAGTTTAGCATAGAAAACACAAGCAAATAAAAAAAAAATTACAACAGAATGTGATAAGACATAATAAAAGATTTATAAGGTATAGCGGAAGTACAAAGGGATGGAGTGATACATTCTATAGGGAACAGAGAGTAGGACAAAGAAGTCTTCTCAGAGGAGGTGGTAGAGACTGGATTCTGAAGGAAGAGTGTAAGTTTACCAGGAAAGTGAGGGGATGGATAGATATTTTCATCAGAAAGACATGGAAATATGACAAAGTAAGAGTCTGGAAAATTATAATTAGGCCAAAATGAACTAAATAAATAGAATAAAAGTTTGGAAGTTATTCAAAGTTTAAGTACTGACGCATTATAAAGGTTTAGAGAGGGTTTTCAAATGAAGGTTGAAAAAGAGCTTAGACATAATGGCTTTTTCTGAGGGAAAGATCAAATTTTTAACTGTGGTGACTTCTGAGTGGTAGAATTAAAGACATTTTAATATCTGTTTATGTTTCTTTATATTTACCAAATTATAAAAAAACTTATTTTTTATAAAATAATTTTTCCACTCGTTTGCTATCTTCATATAAAATACCCAATTCATATAGAATTAGATTTACATATCTCTAAGGATTCAAAGAACTTCAACTTTTGTCTTTTAAGTAGTTTATATGGGCCTTCTGGTCAAGATGGAGGTACAGGTAAACACGACTCACCTCCTCGCCCAAGAACATCAAATCTACAACTAAATTACAGACCAACAATCACTCTAAACTGTCAGAAATTGAGTTGAATGGAAGTCTGACAACTACAGAATTAAAGAAACCACACAGATTCAGAAAGGAAGGAGATGCAGGGACGCAGAGACACCAAGATGTGGACTGGGTGGGTCCCCATACCCACACGTGGTGGATAAAAATTAGGGAGGAATATCTAGGGAGTGAGGGACCCCAGCCCCACAACAGGACCCCAA